ATCAAAAGCTTTAGAAATGTCAAGTGCGATAGCCTTAACCTCTCCACCTCTATCTAATGCACGGTAAAACCTATCGGTTATTACTGTTAGCACATCAGCTGTAGAACGAGAAGACCGAAATCCATATTGATGATCAGAAAGTAAGTTATTTGATTCAAGATGAGAGATTAAGTGTTTGTTGATTAAAGATTCAAAAACCTTGCTTATGACAGGAAGAAGACTAATGGGACGGTAGTCAGATGAATCAGATCGCTCTCCGGAATTTTTGAAAATAGGGATAACAGATGCTGCTTTCCAGCATGATGGAAAACAAGACTCTGATAAGCACTTGTTAAATAGTTTAGAAAGTATGGATGAAAGCTCCGGAGAACACCTCTGCAAGACTACAACAGGAATGGATCAACCTGTTTGACGGCTATGTCAGGTAAAACGCAACTAGTGGAATCAAGAGATGATATTGATGAAAAGTTCTTAGCAAACAATTCAGCTTTGTCTTTAGGTGAGGTGACAAAGTCTGAACCATACAAGAGAGAAGGAATAACAGATTTGCCTTTATTATTGATACTGTTAAAGATTCTCCAGAAGTCTCGAGAGCCTAATTTTTGTGATGAGATACGAGATTTAATGACCTGGGAATAGCGAGCTTTGGCGTCAGACAAAACCTTTTTACAATGGTTTCTGGCGATAGTGAACAGATGTCTGTTTTCTGGAGAATTGTTTTGCTGATAGATATGGAAGTAACGGTTTCTATTAGAAATTGCTGCAGCGCAATGTGAAGAAAACCAAGGAGAAGAGTGAGGCTTGACCTGGAATCGTCGAGAGGGAATAAAAGATTCCATGCCAGCCTGAATCCATGAAGTTATGTAAGAAGCACATTTGTCAGCAGGAAGACGAAAGATTTCTACCCAAGGGCCATCACGAAGAAAATCACGGAAAGAGTCCCAGTCAGCTTTAAGGTAGTTGTATGTGGTACGATGATAGGGGGATTCTGATGAAGTAGAAGAATTTGATAATAGTTTTAGAGAGATCAAACCGTGATCAGAAGTACCTAAGGGTGAATGTGGAGAAATTGAGCACTGACTAGTATCCAAAACAAGACATAAGTCGAGTAGAGAAGGTAAATGATTAGGGTTGTCTGGAAAACGAGTTGGAAAGTTGACTATTTGAGTTAGAGATTGAGAAAGGCAAAAGTTGAGGGCCTTAACGCCAGCAGAGTCACTGACACTAGAGCCAAGCCAATCGGTGTGATGGGCATTAAAGTCACCAACAACGACGATATTGGCCGATGGATAAAGAGAGAGGGCTTGGTCAATTTGATCAGAAATAACATCAAGAATAGTGCAATCTTGGGATGAAGGAGAGCGATATAGAACAAAGAGAAAGGCGATAGAGTGAAGTTGTGCTAAACGAAAGCACATAAATGAATAGTCTGTAGATTCAAACCTAGTTTCACGACAAATGGGTGAGTTCTTACGAATGTAGATGCCCAGGCCAAGCATGTGATTATTGGAGTCTTTACGAATTAAAGGAAGATAACCATCAACACTAAGATCACAAGATGGGACAGCCGAACTCAAATTAGTCTCACAAAGAGCAAGTAGGTCTGGTGAACTTTGCAAGAGATAATACTCAACAGAAGAAAAGTTACTTCGAAGACCACGAATATTAGTAAATGATAGGTTTAGAGAACTTGGTGATGACGATGGTTTTTTGTGTTTTTTAGTTTTAGGTACTTTAGTCATTTTAAATTTATAAAGAACTTGACTCAAGTATAGATAGTACTCAGTACACTATTTAACAACTAAGCAATAGCCTCATTACTATTAATAAACCCTAAGCCGTAACAAAGGGCTCCAAATGTGGCCTCTGCAATGCACACCAAAAGTACAAACAGGGACACCATCCATGCGCAACATGGCACTGTTAGTACTCTGATATTTTTCGGCTGTTGATGGAATCAGCCTCTCTGAGAGCTACCACAGAGTTCGGGAAACCTGACTACCAGCCGGCCTCAGAACCATAAAACTGAGTTTTAGAGCTGTACCCTCATAAGGAGATAATAGAATGAGTTGCCCAGTCATAAAAATAGAGACACAAGCAATACCCACGCATTGACTTCTCCTAGCCTTTGCCTAAAAAAGCGTATCCTACAAGGCAGCAGGACATGGAGCAGGTTGTACTGGGTTACATGTTACCAGTAGCAGGAAAACCTGACCTGACCTTAAATAATTATGAACATAATTAAGGTTCATAATTTTACATAAAAAAACAAAAGTATTATAATTTTTAGATACTGTTATTGGTAATTATCAAATAAATATATAAAACATATTTTATGACCATTTTTCATTTTAGTTTAAACAAGTACAGTACAAAAAAGTTATAAAAAGTTTTTATTAGAAAAACCATAATGAATTAGGCATGTTGTTTTTCTTTTTGTGTGAAATACATTAATTATAAAGCTGTTGCTTTAAAGAAATATCAACAAACAATCATTTTAATACTTTTGTTATTTTATTTTGGGTTTAATTGTTTTTGTTATGTTAATTATATTAATATAAAAAAATCATATTAATTAGGACCCAACAAAAAGTACATAAAATAAAGCAAAAAGTAATATACGAAAAATAGTGCTTAAAACTAGTGTTTAGAATATATATGGGCACTGCTCTAAAGAGCTATAATGATAATAATAATAAATAAAAAAAAAAAAGAGCTATAATGATAATAATAATAAATAAAGAATATAATGGGCACTGCTCTAAAGAGCTAGCGTCCCTTGTGCCATCTACTAAAATTCATTCTCGTGTTACTCGCCATTCAATTAAGTCTCATCCTTTTTCTGTGACTGTTCCTAAGTGCTTCAAAAACTCTTATTCTTCTAGTTTTTTTCCTCGAACATCAGTTCTTTGGAATTCGCTTCCTTCATCTTGCTTTCCTGATTCATATAATTTGCAATCTTTTAAGTCATCAGTCAATCGTTATCTTGCTCTACAGTCTTTTCTCTTCCAGTAACTTCCAACTCTTATAGTGGTTGCTTGCAGCCTTGTTGGAAGTGAAGATGTTAAAAAAAAAAAAAAAAAAAAATATAACTTCACATCAACACAAACATTTCACAATCATCAAATTAAAAAAGGTAAATTTAAAAAAAACTGGAAGAAAAAATCACTATTTTTTCTCTTACATCACAATAAAAGTAATAAAAAAAACTATTTTCTGATTGGTTTAAGATAAATTTTTATATAATAAAAGACTATGTAAACTATACATTTTAACCATTAACTAAAAACCCTTCAAAAATGACTTATGATTGTAAAATGATTGTGACAATATTTGTATTAGTTTTGAATATAGCTTGTAATCTGAACAAAAACAAAAGTATTGTATTAGTAAAATCAAGTAGGTTACTAACAAGTTACAACTTGTTAGTAACCTACTTGATTTTACTAATACAACTTCACATTAAAAAAAATAATCGAAACCAAAAAATTTGCTTGGCAATCACATGCTTGCCAACAGACTTATGTTAAATTATGATTTAACATGTCTGCTGCCAACTTTTTAGTAGGCTTGACCAACTTACTGAAACTTCTGAGATATTTGTTGTTGATACTAAACTTTTTCCCTAAAACCTTATTGCAGACTGATCTCGCTAAAAAAATGCTTAAAAAAACATTAACTTTCATTGATGAAAAACACAGCTCTCATATTATAAAAAGCGTTTATAAAGCGACACCTTGAATATGCAGTGTCTTATTGAACTCCTTATTTAAAAACTGATATGACCTTGGTTGAATCTGTCCAACACAAAGCAATAAAATTTCAGCTTGAGACATCTTCAATACTGCAAAAGACTACAAAGATTAAATCTACCATCACTTCAGTTTTGGTATCTATGATCGAATTCAAATCTTTAAACTAATAAAAATAAACTTAATTTTGATATAGTTAATGATATACATCTGCAAAAATTTACTATTCTAAAATAAATGTAAGTATGTTCTAAACTGCCCAAAAGTTATATAATAGATCAGCAAAATACTGGAACAAACTACATTAGCAAATAATTTTCTACTCCACTCTACTTTCTTTTAAAAAGTAGACTAAACTCCTGGTTGTAAAAAAAAAATTTTATTGTTTTTTCTCAAATTTACTTTTAGCAACATTATTAACTCATTCAAAACTTAATAAAAATTACTTTTCGAATGTCTGTTACACTAACGCTATTTTACTCAAAATTATTGCGCGATTATTTGATTTGATTAGTCTTGGTATAGTTATGTTAAACAAGAAACATTAAAAAACATTAAACTTTTTTAAATTTGATACAAGTTTAGGTTTTCTTTTTATTTATCCAAAGTAAGAAGCATGTGACTTAAGATTGAATAAAACTAAGTAAAAAATTCATAATATTAATACTTTTTTGTTATAAACACCACTGAAACTAAAAGATCACTAATTCATAAATATACCTACATAAAGTTTAATTACTACATTTTAAAAGATATTATTGCTTATAGCTATGCTGTTACCCCTTTCGTTATAGAAAGCAAAAAATCCTAATAAATTTTTTGCTGAACAGACGTTGGCTAAATATCAGCTGCAACTGTAATAATAATAATAATAATAATAATAATAATAATAATAATAATAATAATAATAATAATAATAATAATAATAATAATAGCAATAATAATAATAATAATAATAATAATAATAATAACAATAATAACAGTAATAATAATAATATTATAAAAAAACTTATTAGTTACTAAAGAGAATTATAATTTCATTACAAATTTAGATTGTAATATTAAAACTTAAGCTTTTTTTTTTTATTTGTTAAAAAAAAATTAAATTTACTTTAAACTATTACTTAAAATTCAAATTATTAATCATAAAATAATAATTTAAATAAATAATCATAAGTTAAATAATAATAGATTTTTTTAAATAAAAAAATATATTGATATTGATTGGATAATAAAACAAATTTTTACTTTGACGCTTTCCATAAATTTCAACAGCCATATAACTAGTGTCAGTATTAGACATTTTTCTGACAATTTTAATCTGACTGCCAACTATTGTAGTATTCAGAGTTGATAATACAGGAGAGTAGCCTAATTGAAAGCTACCAGGATACTCCTAAAAAAAGTAATTGATAAAAATATAACTTTTACACAAAAAAAAAAAAAAAAACTAAAATTTTTTTTTACTTCTCAGTATGAATATTTATATAAACAATAATGATTTAAAAAAATACATTTTGTGACTAAATTTTTTTTAATTTAGATTAAAAAGTTTATTTTATACTTTTTAGTACAAAAAGATTATGTTTTTAGCAAATGTTTTTGCTATATTTTATTTTCTACTTTTTAGTCTTTACAGAGAGATACGATATTTAGTGATGCGTTTGTCTAGAGATTTGTAATTAAGTCGAGCTTTTTATCCTAAAGAAACGGAGTATTTGCTGATTAAAGGAGCGGAATATTTTTCTTTTCAAAGATAAAAATTTTTTATATAAAAGTATAATAACATAGTGTACAAATATTTTATTCGCATTGCAACCTGCGTCCTCCCACAGATGTATTATATTTTTATATTAATATTAAACAAAGTTAACATAACTTTGTAAGTTACTTTTTCATTTTTATTAAAAAAATAATTTTTCAGAAAAAAAAAAAAAAAAATTTAAAAAAAGATTAAAAAAGAAATACAAACCCACAAGCAATCTTAGCCAATTTTTAAAATAAAAAATTTTATTTTTAGATGAAAACAATATATATTAAAAAAAAAATACAAACTCACAAGCAATATTAGCCTATTTTAAAAATGAAAAGATTTGTTATGAGATTAATACGAATTGGTTAAACAAACCCGCAAGCAATTTTCTGGTAAAGTTTTGTATAAAATGTTAGTTTTTAGCGGGCTATGAACGAAAAAGAAAGTTGAGTAAAATATCATATTAAGAGAAAAAAAAAGATTATAAAATATTAAATGTTAAAGCAAATGTTTTTGCTATATTTTATTTTCTACTTTGCAGTCTTTACAGAGAGTCACGATATTTAGCAATGTCAAGACATTTGAAATTAAATCGAGCTAAATGTGCAAATGGTTTAAGTACGAACTGGCATATATGCAAATTTGTATAAGTGCAAAGCAGTTACAAAAACTGGCACAAGAGCGAACTGGAGTGTGTGAGCCAAAATGAATTTGCAAACATCGGCATAAGTGCTAACTGGCATAAGTGCGCCGAATAAAATTGCAAATATTGGCATAACATAAAGTGTTGTTTTGCTCTGATTGCCAATTCGCACTTATGCCAGTTCGCACTTGAGCCAGTTTTTGCTACGCATCGCACTTATGCCAATACGTGCTTATTAAGCCTCCCAGATTAAAGTGCGAACTGGCATAAGTGTGCTGAATAAAATTGCAAATATTAACATAACGCAAATTGTTATTTCACTCATGCTAGTTCGCACTTATGCCAATTTGCACTTATTAAGCCTCCCGGATTAATAGATCGGAATATATTTTTTTAAAGGATAAAATTTTTTTATATAAAAGTAAAATATGATATAGTATATTTCATTTGCATTGCCACTCTCGTCCTCCCACATATGTAATATGTTTTTGTATTAATATTAGACAAAATTATGTTGTAAGTTATTTTTTTCAATTTTATTAAAAAAAAAATTTTTTTAAAAAGAAAGTATTAAAAAATAAAGATACAAACCCACAAGCGCAATATTAGCCGATTTTAAAAAATAAACATTTATTAAATATTTTAATTACTCTTTAATAATAAAACAAAGCCGCAAGCACTTTGGAAGCAAATTTTTATATAAAGGGTTAGTTTTTATGTGTCCCTTGGACAGCAAATAAATGTAATATGTTTTTGTATTAATATTAGACAAAATTATGTTGTAAGTTATTTTTTTCAATTTTATTTAAAAAAAAAATTTTTTTAAAAAGAAAGTATTAAAAAATAAAGATACAAACCCACAAGCGCAATATTAGCCGATTTTAAAAAATAAACATTTATTAAATATTTTAATTACTCTTTAACCCTTTGAGCGCGACGAGCCACGATCGTGGCTATACCGTCAGAGCGCGAAGAGCCACGATCGTGGCTTTAAAAGTGGTATTTGAAAATATGACTTTTTACAGCAAAATACTGCTGATTGTTCATTAAAAATGGTAGCATTGAATAGAGCACATTTTTCTCTATCTTTTGGTATATTGTTGTTATATATTTGGTTTTGAAAATGAGCGACAGTGAAGAAAGTTGTATGGATGACGAGAGTTGTACCAGCGAAGAATTTTTAAGTTCCAGCGATGACAGTTTGTTTGATGAAGCACGATAACATTAATTAAAAAATTGTAAACAACATTATTTAATACAAATATATCACCTAGTATGATAATTTGAACTTTTTATTTTAATTTTTATGTAGACTTCAGTTCTGATGGCGATGTTGATGTAGGTGATGTTGGTGGTAATGTTTTAGACGATTTATTATTTTTTCTAGAAGATGAAAATGGTCCTAATGTTGTTCACTTTACTGGTGAATCAGGACCCAAGCACTCAATTTCACCTGAGTCTAAGCCTATTGAATATATGGACTTGTTTTTTACAACTGAATTTTTGCAAAATATAGTAAATTTTACTAATAATTATGCTGACACGTGGATTCAAAACAATCAACAACAATTGAGGTCCCATCCAACATCAAGAGGTCATGGATGGATTAAACAAGGAAAGACCAATCTTTTAGAGATAAGAGCTTTCCTTGGAGTCGTAATCAACATGGGTCTCATCAAAAAAGCTAATCTTAAACTTTACTGGGATATAAGTCATCCTTGTGCATCTACTCCCTGGTTTGTTACCCACTTCAACCGTGACCGGTTTCAACTTTTGCTTAAATTTCTTCATTTTACAGACATCCATATACCACTCAATAAAATTTATAAAATTCAGTTTTTAGTTGAACATTTTAACAACAAATTTCTATATTATTATTATCCACAAAAAGACATTTCTATAGATGAGAGTATGGTTGGCTACAAAGGAAAGACACCACATCTGTGTCAATATATGCCAAACAAACGTCATTCTAGGTTTGGGATTAAGTTATGGTGTGTTTCAGACAGCCCTAACGGTTATTTGTGTCAATTTGAAATTTACAAGGGAGGTTAAAGACCCAGATGTAGCAGCCATTGCCTATGGTATGACTTATAGTTTAGTTTTTCGTCTTTTGCGCCAAACTAATTTCCTCCACCAAGGTCATCACTTAGGTATTGACAATTATTATACTTCTCCTCAACTGTTATTAAATCTTTATGCTCATCTACCAGAAATCTTTATGCTCAGGCCTACCAGAAACCTGCATTAAATCGAAATTAAAAAATAAGGAGGTATGCCAATATAGAAAAGGTCCCTTGTTGTGTGTGGCATACCAAGATGGTAAAAAAAAGCCTATATTATTATCTACTGTTGCCAAAGCAGGTTTTACTGAAATGCATAACAGAAGAGGAAATATAGTTATGAAACCAAATGTTGTTGCCCTTTACAATAAAACCATGTGGGGTGTAGATTTGGGTGATGCACAGCTCTATGTGTACTTGTCTGAGCGTAGAACAATAAAGTGGACTACTAAAGTTGCTTTTTCTTTATTTGGTAGAGCTATTTTAAATAGCTATTTATTGTATAAGCTCAATACAAATGAACAAAAGCCAATGTCAAGAATAGATTTTATGATGGCTATAGTAGAAAGTTTAGCCGGAGGTTATTTTCCAGTAAAAGTAATTTCTAAAAGAAGAACATCAAGAGAGATTGAAGTGGCTAGAAGTACAATTGTCCCGAATCCACTTCCCTAACACACTGCAAGTAGCAATCCATTATATGGTCACAATCTTGTTAAGGTTGGTGCAGGAAAAAAAATAAAATGTGTAGCTGGGCACCAATCTCGAGTCCGCACAAGTTGGCAGTGTCAGTTATGTGGTGTTGGACTGTGTCCAGCCTGTTTTTCCAATTATCACACAACAGTTGTGCATTAAAATCATTAAACTTCTTTTAATTTTATACAACCTACAAAAAAATAAAAAAGTTCAAAAATAGTTGTTTTTTTGTTACGTTTATTGCCGATTTTTTTTGACGATATTTTTTAGTTGAATTTTTCTGAACGGCGTTTAAATTTTATCGAGCACTCAAAGGGTTAATAATAAAACAAAGCCGCAAGCACTTTAGAAGCAAATTTTTATATAAAGGGTTAGTTTTTATGTGTCCCTTGGACAGCAAATAAAGTTGAGGAAGAGTTCATGTTAAGTGAAAGAAAAGATTATAAAAAGGTTTTTACAAATAGTTTCCTTAGTTTCATCTTTAAACGAAGAGTTGTTAAGAGTCTTTTTTACCACAAACGGTAAAATTAAACCTTTACTAAAGTGTGTGTGTGTATATGCATATATATATATATATATATATATATATATATATATATATATATATATATATATATATATATATATATATATATATATATATATATATATAGGTTTGTTTATTTTTAGGGCACTTTTTAAATGCGCTAACTTAAAACATGCAAGGAGCATGGCTAAGTTGTCAAAACAAAATAATATTCTGCATGCAATATATATAAATGTGTATGTATATATATGTCTATATTATATATTATATATTATATTATATATATATATATATATATATATATATATATATATGTCTTATTATATATTATATATTATATTATATATATATATATATATATATATATATATATATATATATATATATATATATATATATATATATATATATATATATATATATATATATATATATATATATATATATATAGGCAATTCTGCAAGAGTGGCGGTCACAACATTTGACACTCTTTATGCTATTAAAAGTAAACCAAAAATGCAAATGACTTGAAACTTTCCAGAAATGTGAAAAACTATCATATAATTTAGTATGTAAAAGTTACAGCATTAAAGTCATCAAATTTTAAAAAATTAACTCTACGTAGCATGACAGACATAACGCTTACTACTTTTTACCACTTTTTGAACAAAACAACTTTGTCAGACTTAATGCAGTAAACGGATTGTTAAAAAAATATTATTTCGTGTGTGAATTTAGCACATATTGATGTTATTATATGCTGAGTTTCATACTTTTTACTTGAAGTTTTACAAGCATATTTATGTTTTTTTTTTGTCATGACAGTCGTAACTAAAAACCAATACTTAAAAACAAGTAAAATAATGAAATCAATGATGTAAGAAAAAAAATATAAATGATTATTAACAATCATGTATATTATGTTTAAAAAATGCAATTTAATATTATCAAAGTTCTCAATTATGGATATAAGGTACAATTTGTAACTCTTCACAATACGGCTGTAACTAAGTGTCAAAACACATTTATACGACCCTTTTAACTTTAAAACTATGCTATGAATTCTTTGAATTCTAAAATTGATTTCTAAAACTATGCTTTTAATTCTTTGACCATACTATTATGTGCTTTCGCTTAGCACCTCTTCACTCTACCACCTTTTTCTTTGTTCTTTATTGCTTCCCTTTTTCCCAAGACTGCACTCTTTTAGATATAATTTCTGATCAAATTGACCATTTTCTCTCTCTCTTTACCCCTCTGCCAATATTGTTGTTATTGGTGACTTTAATGCTCATCACACTGAATGGCTTGGCTCTAATGCCACTAACCCTACTCACACTAAAGCCTATAACTTCTGCATTTCACAACTTTTACGAAGATAGTTAACTTTGTGAGTTGTTTTCCTGACAATCATTTATCTTTACTCCTTGATTTATGTCTGTTCTCTGATCCTAGCTTGTGTTCAGTTTCTCTTTTTTCCCCTTTAGGTGGTTCTGACCATGCAATGATCTCTTTAAATCTTTTATCTTGTACTTTCTTTTTGAACTCACCCTATCTTAAATCACACTACTTACTACTACCCTAAAGCTGATTGGGATTCTTTTCATGATGGTCTTTGGGCTGATGTCTTTTCCCTCTCAGCTGAAAAATGCACCTCCAATGTAACTTCTGAAAAATGCACCTCCTGGATTCAGGCAGGAATAGAAGCTTCTATTCTTTCTTGTCAGCTCAATAACAATCAAATCTCGCATTTTCAGAAGTTAGGCTCTAGAGACTTTTGTAAAATCTTGTCATTTAAAAATTGATTGTCATCAATAAAGGTCAATCAATAACAATTCATCTCTCATTTATAGGATTGATCTTATTACTTCCCCCAAGGATAAGGCAGAGCTATTTGCAAAAAGCTTTTCTTCTAACTAAATTCTCGAATCTTATGGCCATTCTCTACTTTCCATTCCAATTAAACAGGTCAAACCATTGTTAAACATTCAAAAACCACTTCAGCTTCCATTGCTAAAGTCATATCTCTATTAAACTCTTCTACATCTTGTGGTCCAGACTACATTCCTGTCAGTCTTAAAAAATTGATCTCCAGAACTTTCTTCAATTTTCTCTAAACTAGTTAATAAGTGCTTGATCGAGTCTTGTTTTCCTGCTTGCTGGAAATGGAAAAAAAAAAGGTATCTGTTGTTTCAATTTTCAAAAACTTCAGTAAACATTTTGACCCCTCCAATAATCACCCAATTAGTCTTCTTTTTGTTATTAGCAATGTTTTTGAGTATTTCATAAACAAATTTCTCACATCCCATTTTGAGTCTTATAACTGGCTTATATAATAACTTGCTGACAGACAATCTATACGGTTTTCGATCCTCTTGCTTTACAGCTGACTTGCTAACTGCTGTGAATAAAAAAGTCAGTTAGGCAGAGACAGAGAGACTCTTGACATATCTAAGGCTTTCGACAAAGTTTGGCATGCTGGTCTTCTCCATAAGCTTGTTTCATATGGCGTATCTGGGTAAGTTTTTGAGATAATCAAATCGTTTCTTTTCAACTGCTTTGTTAAAGTCATCCTTAAAGACCAACACTTTTCTATATTTCCAGTAACTTCTAGGGTACCTCAAGGTTCAATCCTTGGTCCTATTTTGTTTCTTATCTCCATTAATGAACTTCCCAACAGCCTTATAAGTAGCTCTTTTTGCTGATGACTCAACTTTATACTCCTGTCTTGACAAAAAATCTTCTCTTTTCAATCACTTAGAACAGGCAGCTGATTTTGAATCTGATCGCACTTCTGTAATAGATTGAAGCTCACAGTGGCTTGTAAATTTTAACTCCAACAAAACTCAGTTATTTACTGCAAATAACTATCGCAGTACTGCTAAAAATTTATATATTAATGAATGGTCCCTCTCACTGATTCCTCTTCTTTACGGCTTCCTTGATTATCATTTACTACTAACATTTCATGGAAACCGTAAATACAATCGATTGCTAAATTAGCATTGGCTAAGGTTGCTTCTCTTTATTGTGTTTGCCATTTTCTCTCCTAATTCCACTCTCTACCTCTACAAATCTCTTATTCGTTCCTGTATGGAATGCTGTTGTCATATTTGGGCTGGTTCTTCAATTGATGCTCTTTCTCTTCTAGACAAGGTCCAAAAATGAATTGTAAACGTAGTTGGGCCAGGTCAATCTGCTAAGCTTGAGCTTCTTTCCTATTGTCATAAATTTGCATCTATTTTTCTTTTCTACAAATACTATGGCAGCTGCTCAAAGAAGCTATTATCTCTAGCTCCATCAACTAAAACTTCTCGCTTGACTCATCATTTATCAACGACTCATTCTTTTACTGTATCTGTCCCTGCATGCTCAAAAAATTTTATTCCTCTAGTTTTTTCCCCAGACTTCAACCTTTTGGAATTCTCTCTCATCTTTATGTTTTCCTTACTTGTACAACCTTTAACTTTTTAAGTCTTTTGTCAACTGTTTCCTTGCTCTATAACTCTATTATTTTTTTCTAGTAACTTCTAACTTAATAGTGTTTGCTTGCAGCATTGTTGAGAATAAATCAGAATAAAAAAATAAAAAATGTTCACTGAAAAAAGAAGTGAATAAGTTCCACTAGTTCTCAATAGTCCTCACAAGGAAATATTCTTCTCTCCAAGCATTGCCCATTTCTTTACTTCAAGTGCTTATATTTATATATGATTTTTTGACAAAATGTCTTGTCATATATGTATATATATATATATATATATATATATATATATATATATATATATATATATATATATATATATATATATATATATATTATGTCTATATACTTTTCCTCTATAATTTTTAGTCAGCAAATGGAAACACCATAGATTTTAAATATTGGGCCAGTTCATTATATTTTAACTAATGGCATGTCAAACACCACCTTTGATTTTCCTGATTTTTTAATATCATTATCTAGATATTGTAAATAGGTTGAACTTGCAACTTCAGACTTCTGAGTGCATCAGTTTAGATATAATAGCACTATTAATACTATACAGTAATCCCCTCAATTTTAACTCACTTTTAGAATGGTAAATACAGACAACTTTATAGCTTGATAACTTTTTTCTAACTTTTAGCAAGTGTCTCATTTTTTTAGAGCTACTTTTTTAACCTCCTCAACTTTATCAAATATTTGGTAATTCCAAACTGAAGGTATCTGTAGTATTATTCTATTCATCCAAATGTTCTTACAGGTTAGATTTCTGATTAGGAACTATTGTATGCAATAAATGGAGAAGATATAAGCAAGTTTTTTACAGTTTAGAACACAAATATATCTAAAAATAAATTGTTTATTTACCTAAAAATTCTAGTTTTCATCCATTTTAAAAAAATTTTCTAACACCTTGATCTAAAATTAACAGAAAATAAAAGCACTAGGATCAACTATATAATAAATTATATAGTTGATTCTAGCTATTTAAACTTGTAATGTTCACAGCAAAAATGACAGCAATTTGAATACTTTTTTTTTTTACAACTATCAAGAGTTACTTGCATTATTGGTGCTCCTCTAATCTTCCAACTAGAATATGTTAAATGACCAATGCAACCAATATTAATGTAATATGAGAGGTGCAATGATTAATAGTAATGTAATGTAATATGAAGGATGCAATTAATTATAATATAATATAAAAGTCGTTAGTTAAATTAAATACATTAAAAAAGGGAAAATATAGTTCGTTGCCCACTCCCTGATCTGCATTAAATAGAACAACAATAAATATAAATAAATTATTTATTTTGTTTTATGAAAAAAAAAAGAATCATTCTTTATGAAATGAATTAATTTAAAATAATAATTTCATTTCATAAATAATGATTCTTTCTTTTTCATAAAATATAATTTTATAGTTATAATTTGCAAATATTGAAAATAGTAGGTTCTTTAACAGAGCTAGATCCATTTGGTAAATGAAGGACAAAACTCATCCAATATCATTATTAGTTTAGTTAAGTCATAAAACTGCAACATAAAAAAATCAATTTATTTTAAATATAAACAACTTACACCAACTAATTCTTTATCTAAATTATCTTTTGTACCAAGATAAACCAAATAACTTTCAACAACATTTTTACTATTCTTATCATAACCTTTAATTGCAACACCACTAATACTCATCACATGAATCAAATCAATTTGTATATACAATTTTTTGTCATGATAGGAATAAAAATCACCAGACCCATAATACATGCGTGCTTGTGATATACCACCATATGAGTTTGCACTTAAGGAAATCTGCGAGTCTAAAATTATTTGACTTTCCATTCCAATTTCTTCTAAAATATCTGCATAAAATAAAATACAAACAACTCAGAAATGATTATATAAATTAAACAAAAACAATGAAAATAATTTTTTTGAATTGAAAAAAGAATCAAATATATAATGAGCCCAACTTTTTTCAACTACCTGCAATACTTCTTGTTACTTTATGATTTTTGATTCTGATTTTGATTCAATTTATGATTAATGGTACTTTATGATTTATCATGTTAAAAAGTAAAATTGTTAAAAAATTTAATATTCACTTTAGTTTCTAATAAAAAAATTTGAAAAAATTCGAAAGTCTTATAATATGTTAAAGTTTAAATTTTTTAGTACTTCGGTTCTCTACTTGTAACTTACATAAATGAATTGAATTTAAAGACAAAAAATCAGATAAATTGTTGGATTTTGAATTTGATTAATTTGAATTTCATCGCAAGTTATATTTAAAATTAAAATTAAATTAAAAAAAAAAATTTACTAAAAGATTTCGTTTCAAAATTTTCAATTTGACTTTTAATAAATTGAAGAAACAAGTTTAGAGAAGGTATATTGTCATATCTCCTTAAATATATATGGATTTTAATATTACATTCTTATGAAACATTTGCACAAAATAAAATAAAAAAGATTTATAAAAAATAAACCTCTAATAAGGGTTGTTTGAAGTAAACAAAAACTTTAAAAATTTTCACATTTTTATCTTCCGTATTTCAAATTGCTATTGCAGAAGTTGTACATGCGCAAATTCACCTTCCGTAACACATTGTATGAAAAAAAAATAAAACTAGTAACAACTATTTAGGAAAATAAACTTGCAAAACAAATCATTTCAAAAGAATACTTGCAAAACAGTTTTCCATAAGCGCATATTCCAAAACGCAGAGCACCTCAAAAATAAATAAAATTGAAACTGATCAAACATAAAATCATTCTATTTAAAAACAAGTGTGAGCTAATTTTAGACATTTCAACAAATAACTAGGCTTTAGCATTCATTACTTAAACTTTGTCTTTTTTTGATTTTAACAATAGCATTGTTTCCCGATTACGCAATTGCATTCATATGTTAACATTGTTCAAGGTATCTTCATTATTTAATTCTTATTCAATAAAATAAAAGTTATTTACAATTGAAACTCTTTAATTATTATTTTAGTTACTACGTTAATTTGATTCATTAAATATAAAAAAATATATTTATTATGCTGCGTTTTCTAAGTTTTTCCCCATTAAAATCTATTTTGCAAGTTGCGATACAAAATAGTTTTGTTTCAAAAGAAACATGGTTTTTTATGGTTATTTTAAAAAATAAAACCTTCAAATGTTAATATGTTCCAATACTGAAAATAAAATTTCATTATGAACATTTTGGTATATAAAATTTTTATTTTTTACAATTATTTCCTTTTAGCCAACAAACTTTCTATATTGATTTAAAAACATTGTGCGACTTCCGTAAATAATTTAATTATTTTTATGTGAAAAGTGCTAACATGCTCAATTTAGCGAATGGTCAACTTTTCAAATAAATTAAAAAAAAAAAAAACTATATATATAGATACATATATATATATATATATATATATATATATATATATATATATATATATATATATATATATATATATATATATATATACATATATATATATATATATATATATATATATATATATATATATATATATATATATATATATATATATATATATATATATATATATATATATATATATATATATATATATATATATATATATATATATATAAGGCAAGTTAAATATGGAAATATTTTCTGCACTTTAATTTTTTAGAAAAAGAAGAAAAATTAAACTTAAAAACTCATTGAATGAAAAAAATATTTAAATTTTTAATAGTACGCTAGATCAAGAAGCAATAAATCTAAAAAAAATGTGGTGTCTAATAAATTCAGTATTTTTTTGAGTTTACTCTATGGCTGCCATTATCCCAGTTTTTAGGTAGGTGAGTGTAGCGCTAAACTAATTAAAACTAAAATTTTGATTGTGCTCTCGTACATGTAAACCAGGACAATGATAGCCATTAATTAAACTTTACTTGTTTGTTATTTTGATCTTATTTTGTATATCTTTACCTATTTAAACTTTACTTTGTGACAGTTTTTTTGAAAATAATAAGTTTAATGTTTCATGACAATAATGTTTTCATCAATTCTAATTTAAATAATTTTTTACAACTGTTTGTAAAAAAATTTGTTCCATAATTTTACATATGGGAATTTTAAACCATATTTTACAGTGAAAAATGATTAGGTATAGAAAGATTATTAGCAGATCAAAGATGATAGTGACAGCTTGCTATAACAGTAAAAAAATTTGTAAATTTGCTAGATAGGTATTTTTATTTAAGACAAATTGAAAAATTATTAACTGAACAAGATCGTTAGTTTTGAGTATTTTGAATATTTGCAATAAGAAGTAAATTTGATCAGGATTAGAATAATAGCGCCTTGTTTAAAGCCTTGTTTTTGTATATTGGATAATTAAAAAAATTCTTTGCAGCAAATTTGTCCCCAAACCTGATATTCATACCTAAGATGTGATATTGATAAGTTTCAAGATCAACACAGTAACAAACTTTAGCCAATATCCAGTTTGATCTACATAGTTTTATTGCTAAGTCCTTAAGATGATGAAAAAAAGATAAATTTTGCTAAGTCCTTAAGATGATGAAAAAAAGAATAAATTTTGATTCCAAGAAACTTTAAAGCCAATCACTGGATTAATTTTTTACCGCTTACTTAATTGCCTTGAAAATAAACCTGAAAGACTCAATAAAAACTCAAGTTTGTTGAAAAATGCAGTTTGTTGTTGCTTTGATATATGCTTAGAGGGTTACATGTTTAGATTTTTTGAAAAGCAAAAAAAAAATAAACATTCATAAAATATAAAAATATATTAAAATAATACTTATAAGGTCGTTTCCACACTTACCGTGAGTTTAACAAAAGTTATTATAATATTTTAGATTACTCAAAAAGTAGAAATGCATTGGAAATAATTTTTTGCAGCCGTCAAATACTTAGTTTAAAATTAATCTCAATCTGAAATTTAGATAAATAATGTACTTATTTTGATCAAACTTTTAAAGTGCAGTTTTTCATACTTATTGTAAGTGTTTCACACATCGTATATATTGCCGACACTTATCGTGTATCTTGAAACCTGCTTTAGTATCTTGTTTAAAATAAGCTTGCGGTTTCAAATGAAAATTTAATGGATTAGTAAGATTTTATTAAATGTTTTTAGGTGTATAAATAAACATTAATTATGTGGTAATAAAAATATTATTATGAATTAAAACTAAAGATTTTAAAGTAGTTCCATTACTTTAGTACATATCCTTTAATTTCTTAAACTGGAAAGGATAGAGTTTCATCGTAACTATCTGAGTTTTATTTTATAATTATTATCAACATTTAAATGGAACTCGTTTTCTGACTCAGCTTTGAGGTTTTCTTTTTCTTTTGCAACTGTTTTTTTCTTTTTTCGAATTTTCATGTTTTCTCTTTCTTTTTTAGTTTTTTCATTTAACAACTTTTTCTCCATAGGCAATATTTTCTTTCTTAATCATTCTTCTTCTATTTTCGACTTTTTATCTGCAGCTAATTGTTTCTTTCTTAATCTTTTATGCTTTATTTGTGACTTTTCCTGTGAACTTGTTGCCACGATTTAGATGTTACAACCGATGGTAAATGTTCTACTTCGCGCTTGGAAATTTGGACTGGTTGTTTTGGCCATATAAAAACACTTTCGATTGGATTTTTGATTTTTGCTGCTATTTTTAAACTGAAACAAGCTGGTTTTAGTTCTATTACCGCTGCATTATTGTAATCAGGGATTTCCACATCGGTTATAACTTGCACATTTTCTAAATTGCAAGTTGTTGATAAATTTTTATTACCCTGTTGTATTTCATCAGGTAAAATTATGGTCTTATATGTTTCAGATAAGGCTCTTTTCCAAAAATGATACAACAGGAGGAATTCAAGATCACCTTTCCAATCTAAATGTTTGTCGACCATTTTAAACTGCTTTAAAATACTTGAATCAATGTAGCTTTCAATAAAGGTTATGGGAGATGAAGCTGTTAAAGTCACACTTGAATAGTTTTCTTCTAAATATGGAGCCGAAGCAACAGCTGACTCAGATAATTTTTTAACAATTTTTTTGTAATCAACACTATTAGCATTAAATGGAAAAATTTTGGTATTTTTAAAATCTCTATTAGTATTATTTGCCATAGAAGGATCGATTTAAAAAGAATTTAATGTTTCTGTTACATTTTTATTGTTTATTTCTTGTCCTTCATGGTCAATGCGCCATTGTCAGCAAAAAGATTTCCACTTTGCTTTTATTGGCACAAAAACTGCCACAACAAGCAGCTTCAAAATATGTGTTGCGATTGGGAACAAAGTAACAAGAATTATTCCATTTTTAAAGCAAAACTCACAAAGTTCGATAAAATAATGTGACGCATGATCACCAAAAAAAATAATAACTGGTACAGAAATTTCTTCTTTTATCAAAAATGGATGAAAAACATTTGTAATATACTCAAAAAAACATTCTGCAATCATCCAACCATTTTCGCTTTTTCCAATACTCCATCCTAATGGAACAGCATTTATAATTCTATTTGGAAGATGAACACAGTTAAAAATTGTTAATGGTGTAGCAAAAGTTCCGCTGAAATTTACTGCAAATAAAGTAGTGATGCTTTTTTTATTACTTCAAGCACGTTCTTCATGCATTTTTTCCTCCTTCACAAATTAATAAATTGGTTTTTGGTGACAACTGAAAACCACTTTCATCCATATTGAAAATGCGCATCAAATCATTTTAATATTAGGCGTTTTCTACCAAAAGTTTTTTCCGCAAAAGAATTTCAAAAGAATTTCAGCAAAGTAATCTCTTATAGTTTTTTTTCAGTTACTCCACCTCTACCTTGGTTTAAGTATTCACCTCGTTTTTGGGAAGGCTGTTCGTGACGGTGAAGAAATGCATTAAACCAACCTTTTGTAGGACGATTGTTAGTAAATTGTGTTTTTATATTTTTGGAACTCAAATTTTTTTGCTCAGTATCTAATAGCTGTACTACAGACATGGCAAATCCTGTTCTGGTGCATGTTAGTAACCACTCGACTAACTTGTTTTCAATGTGTTCACCTAGTACTGATTCATACCCGCAGTGTTGTATCTTCAAAGAAGTTCTTCCAGATATTTTATCACAAAGTGTCTGATAAAGAATTCCAAACGTCTTGCTCACTTTGTACACAACCATACCTTTTTCAACAGCATTAATAGCATCACGTAATTGACTATTTATATATTGAAGTCTTTGTTTTGAGCTACAAACCTTTGTCTTATATTTTTGTTTTGCCATTGTAAAAGAATCTAAGTAAAATAGTATTTATTTGTATAGTAAAAAAGAAACAAATTGATTATTCATTAAACATACGATATGTATGGAATGATATTTTTTTAGTTCATACTTATCGCACATTTAAAAAAACAACATTGATATTTTAACTTTTAATTGATATTTTTAATTGATAAATTGCAAGCTCATTAAAGACTACATTGATATTATAATTTTTTAATAATATTAATATAAATAATCAATCATGTTTTATTTACGTGATTTTATTTAAGTCAATTTAGTAATAAAATTTTATGTTATCTTTTTAAATTTCCTTATTATATTTATTTGTACCGTTTCTAACAGCTGCTACTTAAAAAAACATTTTTATATGTTGACATAATAAACCCACTGAGTTCATAAAAGTAACTATGTATTGCAGTTTCCATGTAATAGAAATATATGACGATGTTGTTGATACTCAAAATATAAAAATAAAATAACTACTTTTTGCAAAATTTATGTTTCTATTTAAAACCTACGATAAGTATCAACTCAGGGTAGGTGTGGAAACGACCCTAGTTATTTAAACTGCAAAAAATTTTAAAATTCAAAATAATATAAAAACACAAACATTTTTTCAACTTCGACCAAAAAAACACAAAACCTTTTTATATATTCACATAAAAAAAATCCCAATTTGATCAGCCGTCTTTAAATTGACTTATATGTTTATTTCTGCTAGCTCTGATGGGTTACGGTTAAAATTGCTAGAAAAAGCAGAGTTATAGATAGATAAAATTTAATATTATTATTTTTTGAACAAGTTTTTTAACAAAGTAAAACCCGGGTAATTCTGCTTGTTTACCATAAAAATGCTTTTAAAAAAAACTTCAAATGAATTTTAAAACTGTTATTGACATGAACGATAAAAGGAAGTCAAACAAAAAACATTAAGACTTACTATTTAAACAACCAAATAATTCCATTCGAAGACACATATGATTATTTCGTCCAAGAGCAAGTGGAAAGATTCTAATACGTAGAGCATTAATAGGATATAAAATCCATCTGTACACTACATCGATGTCATTATCTACACCATCAAATATCTACAAAAAAAATTAATATTTTTTAAATCTGATTAAAAAATATTTATTTATATATATTTATATATAAATATGTATATGTTGGGGTGTCCCAACCACCCCCTATATTCTAAAAAAGATCTGTTCATATTCTTAAAACTTTTTATTGGTTCTCACAAGCAACTCTATTAAATTTTTTCTATTAAAATTTTATTGGATTTAGGGGATAAAAGTAAGTCATGTTGGGTCTCAAAAAAAGTGAAATTATAAAAATTGAGAAAATAAAAATCATTTTATAAAAAAATTTTATTTAAAATTTTATTTGGAATTATTATCAAAAAAATGTTTTAATTTTTCATATTTCCTTATAAAGATTTGAAAAGCCAATGTTTTTAGACTATATAAGAATCAGTCCATCAAGCCTATTTGGTACAGATTGTTCATTGAAGCCTGATTTACAGAGGGGGTCAATAATGATGACTAGTTAAACAATCTTTGTGTTTTCTGTACAGTGTTTTGTTTTAACTGGACTTTGTCTATTATTTTGATTTTAATCGGGTATAGTAATAATTAGAAATTGTTTTCTTAATGGCACATGAACTAATTTTTTTCATACATAATTATGTAATAGTTATGTATATCTTCAATATATATATATATATATATATATATATATATATATATATATATATATATATATATATATATATATATATATATTTACTTAAAAATTGTATAATAAAATGTAATTTTTTTAGGGTAAAACTAGAATTAAATTTTTAAAAATTTGTTTTAGCATTAACTCATAATAAAAGCATTAACTGAAATGGGTTAGAAAAAGTACAGTGTGCTAACATATCCAAGGAGGCTGATGTTTCTCCTAAAGTACACAACCAATGAGCTACTAATAAACTAACTGGCAACCATCGGAAATATTCATACAATTTAAAATAACATGCCAGGTAGAACTAATAAGTATTTTTGTATATATAAATTGTTTTATAATATATAAATATATTATAAAACAATTATAAAATTTAAAAATGGTCTATTTTATGCAATACATATTTGATCTAATATCATGCCCCCGCCCCCATCTGTTTAAAACAAAACAAAACGCGGCAAAATTTTATGTAAGAACAAAAATACCATAATAATAAATGCTCATCTATTTTTATTTTAGATCACTACGATTTCAATTTACTAAGTTGATAGTAGCCTGCCCTCAGAAGCATAAGAACAGGAATCTGATCTGCAAAGACTCTAAACAAAGATGTGTTTCCTCCACTGTAATAGACGCTTGGAAGAAAGAGTTTCAAGATTTCAAAAAGAAAGTGTCAGGGATAAGGTATTGAAGCTCCATAATAAGTAAATAAATCTGCATCATCTCAAATTATTAAATTGAAACTCTAGCAATGGCAACTTCTTATAGATACAGAATAAGTTTTAAGAGAAGACTAATGCACTTTTTGATATTTCTTTTGGTAAATTTTGAACGAAAAGTAAATTAGGATCTTTTTTGTTGTGAGAATGCCAAAAAGGAGGATATTCAGATATATCTAGATCAAAAAGGAAAGCTTGTATATTAAAAAAGCTTGTATATTACAGAAGAACTGGATGAAGTATTACAAAAATCAATTAAAAATAAAAATATTCAAATCAAAAAGGAGCGAAGAGGTAAAGGTAGAATCATGAAAATCCAATGAATTTCTTTTCGTTTATCTGGAATTGATTTAGAATCAGAACTTAGTTTAGATTCTTCAGATGATGAAGATTTACCTAATAGATATAGTCATTCTAATAAAAAGATAATTCTAAGTATAAGTGCTGAAGAGGATACACCTACAAACTTTATTAGTAGCTGCTATTTGCAAAAAAGCTGGTGTAAATCTAGAAAATATTATTCTATCAAGAAGTACAGACCATAGAAAAAGATTGTGACACCTTAGATTCAATATAATTTAAAAAAAAATTTAAACGAGTTGTTTATAAGAACCAATAGAAAGTTTTAAGAATATTAACAGATCTTTTTTAGAAAACAAAGGGCAGTTCGGACACCCAACTGCCCCCTGTATTCTAAAAAATGAATGTATGTATGTATGTATGTATGCATATATATATATATATATATATATATATATATATATATATATATATATATATATATATATATATATATATATATATATATATATATATATATATTAATGATATCTTAATAGCACAATAAGAGTTGTATATAAAACTGACAATACACTATTTATGGTGACATGCTATTTATTCTTATTAATGATATGTGATATTTTGGTTCAAATAGTTATAGCGATTTTCAAACTAAAATAAGTTACAAAAATTTGATTTTTACAATAAGGATGTCATTGCTGATTAAGAAATGGTAATAATGTAATATATTCACCAGATGGCAGTTAATATAAAAATACAAACTTAAATTTATTATTATTGCCTTTCAGAAACATATTCATAATTTTTAATCTTTTTTTGTAGTCCAATTTTCTGAGTGATAGAATCAAACGAGTTGCTCAGTGTTGTACTTGTTCGATTAAAATTATGTCATTTTTTTGGTGAGGGTTCCACACCGATATTGCAAATTCCAAATGAGGTCTTACAAACACTGTAAACAATGTTTTGAGAAGTTTGCTATCCATATAGGTGAAAGTCCTGCTTAACATTCCAAGTATTTTATTTGCTTTATTTGATGCATACATAACTTGACCATGATATTTTACTAGATAAAATAACACCTAAATCCTTTTCATTGTTTGTACTGCATATACTTGTTATTTCATTTGCTATTGATGGAATTGTTTATTTATGATGTTGGTTTGATTTGCCGAGATGTATTACTTTGCATTTTGACTCATTCAAGTAAAGAAGCCATGTTTAGGACCATTTTGCGATTTTATTTATGTCATTTTGTAATACATTTAAATCGTTGATATTATTTATTTTTGCTAATAGTTAAGTATCGTCAGCATACAATTTATTTACACTTTTTAAAAGTTCTGGCATATCATTAATATATATTATAAATAAAATAGGACCTAGAATGGATTCTTGCGGTACACCACTTCGAACCTCTTTCCATTCTGATAAAAATTCTGCCATTACCACTTTATGTTGTTGATTTTTTAAAAAAGATTCAAGCCACTTTAAAGTGTGACCAATAACTCCAAAATTCGACAACTTGTGAATTAAATATCTATGCAGAACAACATCGAAGACTTTGGAAAAATCCATGAATACTACATCAACTGCATTTCCTTTAGATAATAAATAGGTAATAAAGTCCATTGTTTCAATTAAAATTAGTTGTGCATGATTTGTTGTGCACAAAACCATGTTGATTAGTTGAAATTAGGTGATTTTGTACTAAGTGTTGGACCATACTGTCTTTGAAAATTATTATTAACAACTGACGTCAAAGAAACTGCTTGTAATTAGTTTGCTACCTTTTTTATATAAAGGTGTTATGTGTGCAGATTTCCAATCATCTGGACAAATACCTGATTGCATCGAAAGTGTGAATATATAACTTAAAGGTGTTGCTAGAACAAAAGTACAATTTTTTAATACAAATGGACTTACTTCGTCTGGGCCAACAGATTTATTTGGATCCAATTTCACTAATATATTGTAAACCAAATTGAAATCAAATATTATTATTTGATTTCAATTTGGTTTTTTATTTCAGTTTGGTGTATTATTATTTATTAAATTAATTTACTCATACGCATTTGTAATATCATTAGTTAATAAATAAGTTGATGGCTATGCTTTTAATAAAATATTATAATTTTTATTTTAAGGCCAAAAAACTGTTAAATATCAATATTATTTAAAACAAAAAAAAATCTGTTGTTGTCAAAGTTAAATGTCACTAGTTTGGACTCATTGTTTTAGCTTTTTTAGTTATTTAAAATAATAATTTTTTTTTTTAATAAAGCTATTAGAAATATTTTCAAAAATAAAAAAGTTAGCAAACTATAATTTAATGACTAAATGAATTGGTTCAAAAAATTTTGAATAAAATTATAAATTAAGCACTAAATAATCTTAAATTTCAATTAATTAGATTACTTTTAAATTTAAAGTAGTTTTCCTATGTGATTTTAGTTCATCTCTAAATATAAAATTTAGAGATGAAATAAAATTTTCAATAGAGCATAAACTTCATGATTTAGCTAGTAACTTATCATACATGTGTCTATTCCTACATTTTTTTTTATTTTTACAATTTTTTATTTTTACAATTTTTTTTTATTTTTACAACCAATAATGAAAATATTTTTAAATAAAAAACAAATCCTATTCTTGTCAATTTAGTAAATAGTTATTTAATGATGTTATTCACACTTGCTGTTAAATAGCCTGTTAGATTAAAACTAAAACATATATTTGATTATAATAAAGGAGATCAACATTTGATATACAAAATGATTGATGGAATCAATTGAAACATTAAAAGTTGAATTGATTGATTGATTTTCAGTGGCAAAAGTATAATCTAGTGGCACAAAGATGAAATATTTTCAACAGCTTTTTCATTGTATCTTTTTTATTGCATCTTTTATCATAACAGCTTTTTAGCGGCTTTAGATGGTTTAGATGATAAATTAGCGGCTTAATGCCAAACCTTTTCAAAAATATTAATTTTGTTATTCAGATATGGAGATCACACAGACGCAGAGAATTCATTTAACAAAAAAGTTGTGTAACTTTTAGTAGTTTGTAGGTAAAATCTAGAAATGGATTCCTTCACAAGGAATCCATTTCTAAAAAAACAGGTAAAATCTAGAAATGGATTCCTTCAATCAAAACTTTTTTTGCTTTACTGGCTTAGAGAAATTTAATATTTCCATTTTAAATCAGGTCTAAATACCACACCAAGATCCTTCTCAGAAACAGTGGTGTTTTAAAAGTTTTGCATTAAACAGATTGTTTTTTGATTGTTTTTGTCAAGGTTCATAGTTAAAGGATTCTCTAAATTAAACTTTATTAGCCAT